AGGTCTGGCCTTGGGCGCGTCTTCTAACTGCAGGAGACCATTTTCAATCTGTGCAGTGAGTGTAATTAAAGGACCCATCGTGTGAGAATTAAATGAGCTAATACGCATGACTGCTTAGCACAGCGCTGGGAACATCATTAGCGTTCCTGTTTTTGTTATTGTTAGGATTAGACAGGCAACAGTGAGGGAGGAAATGGAATAATTGTGAAAAGCAGATGAAGAATTCGAAGCACTGCAGTCTCAGAGCAAAACACCTTGAAGATGGTGACTGGATCGTACATTGATGACCCTGAGTCACTGAGAGAACTTTAGATTATGTGCAGCATGCTCTGACTAAGACTCAGGATTATGATTTTCATTGTAAAAAGCCACACCAAAGTTGGTATTTTTAAAAATTAGGGGACAGACGTGATCTGAAAAACGTAGCTCTCCAAAACAGCAACTTCCTCGAGAATGTACTGAGCAAAGCAGGTAAATAGATACTTGTTATGAATTGTATATAGCCCAGATAGAGTGCTGTTACGTCATTTATTTTATGAAAGTTTTTCAATCTGGGGGAGGTAACTTATTCATTCATGGCCATTGACAAAGGAACTTCATTTGAAACAGCCAATTCATCTGCTTTTTCAAGGTGAGAATGGAGCATTTAAAATTTAATGTAAAAGGTAGTACAGCTTGTACTTCATTTTGACCTCTGGGGTCTTTCTGGAGAAGGGCAGCTGGGAAGGCCTGGGGAAGGGGAGCTAGGGAGGAGGCAGATAAATGGAGACCGGTCCTTGGTCAGGAGGGAGGGAAGGAGAGGGGACAACCATAGGGGAGGGTTCTCTATCAGAAGGAAGTGATGCAGGGATCCTTCTCTGACCTGCTGCTCCACTGCACCTGCCCCCAATCTGGATCAGGTGTCTCCTGGGATCCCCCACAACCAAGGCTTTCTCACCACACCAACCACATTGCCTGATGACAATGAGGACAGTCTGCTGAACTGTCCAACCATCAGTGCCATTACCGGTCAGCCCCTGGAATCAGGGTTAAATTTCATCAATCCATCTACCCCCAGGGCCTGGCACACAGTAGATTATTCAATAGAGAGAGGTCCCCCTGTGGCCCCTGATTCATTGCACATAATTGAGAGCCTTTGGGGAAAGGTTTGTTCTGGTGCCGCACCCTGCCTGGCAGTCCTCTGGGCAGACTACACAGGGCAGTGGGCTGCAAAGGCCCCTGGGAAGATGCCAGCTGATCTCTAGAAGAGCAAGAGGGGCCCTGCTTCTTACCTTGGGCTTAGCACATAAATCAATCAAATGTTATGACTGAAGACTCTGGGGCGTCTGGTTCCCAGGAGCTGAGGAGGGCTAGGGAGTGGGGCACGGGAAGAGTTGGGACACCGTGAGTGGCAGAGGCAGCCAAGGGCCCTAGAGCATTCTGGTGTGGGCATCAGAACAACAGAGAAAGGCTGTTCACCATCTTGTGTTGACAAGCTGGTCAGGCAAGAAGGTCCCTGTGGCCCAGGAGGACGAAGCTGCTTCCTGGCCTGTGGGCTCTCTGGCCTGGCCTGGAGCTGGTGTCCTCATAGCCCCACACCCCAGCAGAGTTTTGGCAGGAGTGTGTGTCTGCCAGGGGGACATGTGGGCAGGGAAGGAGGGGGTGTGCCAGCTGTGGCAGAGTGAGCTGGCTTCCTCTGGTGCCCCAGGGGTGGCACGAGGTGCAGCAGGTGCGCCTGTGGACAGACAGATCTTGGCCCATCAAAAGGAAGTGCTTTCTAACAAATGGAATGGATCGTGTTTTGTTCACCTTGTGTTTATGTGCCTAACACTGGCCTGGCCCAGAGTAGGAGCTTGGCAGATGGTTTTTTGAATACGATTGAATGCTGTTGTGTTATTCAGAAATGTAGTGAGCTCTCTGTCACTGGAGATATTCAAGCAAAAGCTGTTGCTGTGAGAGGGTTGGGGTATATCATCTTTAAAGCCCTTTCCAACCAGGAGACCCCCATGGTTCTAAAATTCAGATAACAGTTATGGTAGGCTTTTATTGTTGTGACACATATGGGGAGCTTCAGGTGGTCTTGGGAGGGAAAGAAGGATGTGTGTGCGCACACAAACACACTCACACACGCACACGCACACACAGCTGCTGCTCTCATTTTTGTTGGCTGAGCCTCGGTTGTATAGAATGGACACTAGATACAGGCTTATGATGTCCCTCCCTAATCTCCAGACCCTTTGAATATCACGAGATGTCACTCCTGTGGTTATGCTGTGGTATGTGGCACAGTGGACCTGAAGATAGGGACGTTACCAGGTGGGCATCACCTAATCACAGGCTGGTCGTAGAGGGGGGGAGTCAGAGATTTGGAGCACCGGAACCAAGGTCATGCCTGGCTTTCAAGATGGAGGGTGTCTGTGTGCAAGAAAGCGAGTGACACCTGCCCAGGAGCCAGCAAGGAACTAGGGGCCTCAGGCTGTGGTCCCATGGGACTGGATTCTGCCAGTATCCTAAGTGAGCTTAGGAGTGGATTTTCTCCCAGAGTCTTCACATAGGACCTCAGTGTGACCACCATCTGATTTTTCCCTTCGATACCCTGAGCATTGAGCCCAGTCACGCCCGCCCAGACTTCTCAGCTGCAGACCTGTGCTGTGTGTTGTTGAAGCCATCTGGCTGTGGCAGCTTGTCATGCAGCAAGAGAACATGAACACAGGGCCCTCTCCATGGACGCCATTGAGCTTTCCCAGTTATCTGAGCCACAAACTTAGTGGTGAGCTCTGGTTACTCCAAGCCCTTTCCTAAGGTGAGTGGGCCCTGAGGAGGGGTTGGCCCATCTGGTGGTAAACCTTGTGTCTGCAAAGTCTGAGCTGCAGCCTGCGGATGTTCACACGTGACATCTGGGTCTCACCTGAAGACCGAGGCTGGAGCCATAATGGACGTCTTCAAGAAGGAGAATTCTTTGGACACTAGCCTGTGGACACTGGCTTCCTCAATGGGCAGAAGGATGTGGACATTTCTAGGACAAGCCTGGTGGGGTGTTGGCTTAGCCAGCCTCCCAGCTTTCTGATCGTAGGGTCCTTTTTTACTGTTCTTACCTTACACGTCACCTTGCTTCTCCTTGGCGGGACCAGCCATCAGGCAGCACTGGCTGAAGCATGTGTGGCACTTGGCTTAGAGATTAACAACAGTGACCTGGCAGGCTTGTGAGTGACACAGAAGCCAGTCTCATGGGGCTCGAGGGCGCCTGTCAGAATGTGAGAGGGAGCCCAAAGCATGGCTCTTCCTCTAATTGCGAATGTCCAAACAATGCGAAAGTGAGAACCTCATTACTCAGGGTGATGATGGACTGACATGAGCTGGCATCGTCCTTGGCTCAGCTCTGTGTGATGAATGGATGGCAGGCTGGGGAGGCCTGGGCCGAGGCTCCTGGCGTTCGTTCAGGCTGAGTTTCCCAAACCACGGAGTGCACCTGTTATGCAGGGCCAGGGGCTGGGCAAAGATGGTCTCTGGGAAAGTGGTCGCCTCCACTTTCCAGGTGTAAACAGCCTTGTGCCCAGAGAGGTGATGAGGACCAGCGAGCCATGGCAAGTGGTGGGTCTATGAACAAGGGAGGGAACTGTGGTTCCTGAAAAATCACCAGTGGGTCTGTGAGGAGATCTGGCCAAGAGCCAGGAGGAAGTCAGCTGCTTCCTGTGAGCCATGAGATTCTTATAGGGATTAATCGATTTCTCCACACCCTATAGGTGTCACTGGTGCCTAGAGAAGAGGAGGGGCTCTGTGGACTCTGGGGTCATGGTTGTCACCCAGTCCTTTGCTGGTGGCTGGAGGCTCTGACACCACGGGGTGGCAATGCTAGGGGGCTGGGGCTCCACTGGAGGCAGAGAGAGACAAGAGAGAGCGGAGTGACAGGACCTCACCTCACTGCTGTTAATTCCCCTCCTGGGATCCTAAGACTTGGGATGTTGTCATTGGAAACATTACTATTTAGTTAATGAGGAAGGTGAGTATTCACAAATCAGCATTGCAAATAAGCATGAGATGTAGCATTTAAAAAATATATTTTTATTGATTTCAGAGAGCGAGAGTGAGATAGAAACATTAATGATGAGAGAGAATCATGGATCGGCTGCCTCCTGCATGCCCCACACTGGGGATTGAGCCAACAACCCTGGCATGACTTCCTGGTTCATAGGTTGATGCTCAACCACTGAGCCACGTTGGGTGGGTGAGCGAGATGTAGCATTTTAAACCGACCTTGTTGTGCCCACTTCTCCAAGAGTTTGTAAAGTCATCTATTGGTGCCAAGGTGACAGGTCCAGAGGGACCTGAAATTGATGCTGATAAATCAGTTTTCCATAATAGACTCAGGTCTGTGCCTGCCAGGCAGAAGCAGCTGGGAAGGCTCATGGCAGCCTCGAGGAGGGAGCAGCCGGGGTAACGGGGTGGAGCAGGTACCAGGGAGGGAGGAGGCCCAGGGCTAGCTGCCACCTTGCCTTGTGACTTTGAGTAAGCCCTTTTCCATCTCTGAGTCCCTGACTTTTATGAAACAATGAGGTGTGACTGGTTCCTGGTCTTGATGTCTTCTGGCGCCAATGCTCCAAATTTCCAACTCTGGGAAATAGTGTCACTTCTCTCTGTGACCCTGCTCATAGTCCTTCCTGAGACTGTCATACGCTGGGACTTATACTTTGGGTTGTCTGAAGACAGTGTACTGGTTGACTTGGCATTGTCCTCTTCTGTCCTGGGGTTAGACCCCTGCAGGATGGTCTGTCCTCCTCTTAACAGAGCAAACAGCCCATGACCATCCTTAGTGACCACAGCGATGGGTGTCTGGATGGCTGTTTTGTATCTTACGCAGGTGTGTTTAAGAGGAAAACATAACTAATTAGATCTTAACAGTAAGACCAACATCAGTGATGAATCAGAGCAAAACTCTCCTGCCACGGGTATAACAAGACTCTTTATCACTTGCCCCAATTAGCTACTGACATCTCCCCCTTCTCCTTGTGCTTGGCTTTTAGAAAGAAAAGTTTCAAGATGATTCGGTCCCAGTCCCTGTCTCTGCAAATGCCAACGCAGCCAGATTGGAAGGGCCCCCCGACAACCACTCCAGCCATGTCTCCTGCAACACCTGTGCTCCCTGGAGCCACTTGCCAGCTCGCGCCAGCACCTTTTGCCATGCCCGAGTACCAGCGGGTAACCATCAGCGGAGATTACTGTGCCGGGGTAAGGTGTCTCCCACTCGCCCTACTCTCCCTCTCCGTGGGATCCCCTGGGGGCTGCGTGAGGGGGGGATGTGCCTTGTGCAGAGGCCAGAGCCCATTGGCCCATTGGGTTATGCCCAGCCCTGAAGCCTGGCCCAGTCTGTAGGTGTCTGGCAGTGGGCAGGAGGTATAGGAATTAGAAAAGGAGGGTCCTGGCTGAGGTTGTGGGGTATGGGTGTCTAGGGTGCTGTTCATTCCTGTGAGGAGGGCCTGGGCTGTGAGCTGACACGCTGTGCCCTTGGCCTATCAGTTCCCTGTGTTCTCTGTCTGCCCTGAAGCCCATTGAGGAAGGTGCCCCTTTAGTGTTCCCAGATATTGAATGGATTCAAAGTCCTGTTGTTGATTGGTTTGCTGATTTGGCTCTCTCAGCATCCTTAGATATAGGTTAGCCCTCCAGCCAGGAAGAGAGGGTGCTGATGAGGAAGTGAATGAGCTGATGTACACACCAAGTCAGTTAACTCAGTCGCTGAAAATGTGCTAATTTCACCTGGTAGGAGGATGCATTTTTATTGCTTACTCAGAAAGAGAAATATCACTAAAGTTAGTGCTGGGGTTAAGTTTGGTTCTACCTCCCTGGCCCTCAACCTACTACTTGTGCCTCAGTTGACCGTGTTATTCTCTTTCTCTTTCCTTTTTCACGGTAGTTTTAGAATATATACTATACCAGAGAAAGCGAAGTGGCTTACAACTCTTCTTACACATTTCCCCCTAGCCATAACAACATATATTATTTTGGGGGCAATAGAGAATCCTTGCATATGGTACAAAATATTTTTAAAAAACCCAAAATTATATAGTTCTCCAGCACCCAGTTTCCTTTCTCAGAGGCAACCCTTGGCTTGATTTCTTGTGTGTTCTCACATACCTGGCCTGTGTACCTGCAATTAATTATATACACATGGTTCGTTTATTTGTACACAAACGGTAGTTTACTATACACATGATATAACTGAGCCTAGCTTTTTTTCACTTAACAGTCCCTCTTGGAGATAATGCCATATCATTAAAGAACTTCCTTGTTCTTTTTTAAAAAAAATTATTTTAAAGTTGCTACCAGCAACAGCGCAAACATTCCAAACACCTGCGAATTGTCATTTTATATTTTCAAAGTATATTTTTGTTGATTTCAGAGAGGAAAGGAGAGGGAGAGAAAGATAGAAACATCAATGATGAGAGAGAATCATTGATCAGCTGCCTCCTGCACACCCTCTACTGGGGATCGAGTCCACAACGCAGGCATGTGCCCTTGACCAGAATCGAATCTGGGACCCTTCAGTCCGCAGGTCAACACTCTATCCACTGAGCCAAACCAGCTAGGGCATCCTTGTCCTTTTTTACTAACGCATAGTTTTCCACTGTGCGGATGTACGCTATCTTACTCATGTGCCCATGGATGGGAATTTTGGTTGATTGGAAGCAACGCAGGCCTTGTCTGAAGACGCAGCTTCCTGTCCTATGTCCCCCCAGCCTATGGCCTTTGGGCAGAGCAGTGGAAAGGGAGAGTCGAGGTGGGCTGACAGCTAGCTGAATGGGAGGACATTGGCCGAGGGCCATGGTCGGCAAACTGCGGCTCGCAAGCCACATGCGGCTCTTTGGCCCCTTGAGTGTGGTTCTTCCTAAGCCTTAGGAGTACCCTAATTAAGTTAATAACAATGTACCTACCTATATAGTTTAAGTTTAAAAAATTTGGCTCTCAAAAGAATTTCAATTGTTGTACTATTAATACTTGGCTCTGTTGACTAATGAGTTTGCCGACCACTTGCCTGGGGCATTAACTAGCTTCTTTCAGTCAGTCTCCTGGCTGGCATGTCGTAGGGCATGGAGCTCATGGTCAGTTGGTCCCAGAGAGCTACAAGTCTATGTCAGGCAGGCTGACCTTGCAAATCTCCTTGGCCCCCGTGGGTCTGCTGTCAGACATGAGGCCTGCGGTGCCTACAAGTTGGCTGGTGGTTCCTGGTCCCCTGAGCACCCCCTCGGACATCTTCAGCTGTGTCCTGAGCCCCTGGCTGTACTGGGTTCATTGGTTCTGCAGACAGCATGTTTGCCTTTGTCTAAGGCAGTGGTTCTCAACCTTCTGGCCCTTTAAATACAGTTCCTCATGTTGTGACCCAACCATAAAATTATTTTCGTTGCTACTTCATAACTGTCATGTTGCTACTGTTATGAATCGTAATGTAAATATCTGATATGCAGGATGGTCTTAGGCGACCCCTGTGAAAGGGTCGTTCGACTGCCAAAGGGGTCGCGACCCAGCGGTTGAGAACCGCTGGCTAAGGCGTTGGGTCTGCTCCCCTATTTATTACTGCTGCTCTCAGAAGCCAGCTGGAAGGGCTAAAATGGAAGTGACACACCTTCCTGGGGACACTTGGAGTCAGGAAAGGGAAAGCTACTTCCTTAGCCAAAAGCAAGGAGTAACATTTAGTAAAAGGATAAAAACATGTGTGGAAAAGATACGCCAGTTTTGGTCCTCTGATGACTGAGCCGGGGGAGGAGAGAAGTGGGGGAGGGGGAATTTTAGCTGCATCTGTGATGATTTATTTATTCAAACCTATAAGAGATCCGAAACCATGATGAAAAAATGTTAAAATTGTTAGCTCTGGGTGTCTGCCAGTGCTTGTTTGTATGTTTAAAATGTTTCAAAACTAAAGTGATTTTTTCATTGAAGCAGAGGAGGACACTTTCAGGCTTCAGCCCTCCATGCTCCTCTCACCCGCATCTCGTCCGCCCTTTGCTGTGTCACACATCCGCTGTTATGACAGTTTAGCTGCTCGTCTCCCGAGCGCTTTCAGATCCTGCCCCACACATCCTCCCCAAACTGACTAAGACTGATGCGGTGGGAGTTTATCTCATTCGTCTTTGAACACGAGGCAGCTCTGGGAATGCAGAACATCCCTGGGCTTTGGGAATCGGTCAGGTCAGGCTCTGCGGTTTGATGTTGTGACTTCCTGGCGTGTGATTTATCCTCGCTGGGCCTCGGTTCCCCCATTTGTAAAACAGGTTGCAGTGAGGACCCAGTTAAATCTATGGAGAGGGTCTAACACACGAGATCGGTCCCTACATGCTTGTGGCTGGGTGAATTTGGGTGAGAGCCTGGGGGCAGCAGAGCAGCGGAGTGAGCAGGCAGAGGTTTTTATTATTACCGCCAAAGGACCCATCAGCTGAGAGCGAAGATGCCCACCCTCATGAGGGACACGGTCCAGGCGTTGCCTCTGTGTGCGGGGTGCGGCCGCAGGCTTGTGCCTTAATCAGCAGCACTGGAGGCTGGCTGGGGGTGTGCCGGCGGAGTACCTGCCTCCCTACTAACTTTCCGCCTGTGTGGGTCCAGGAGACTGTCCCAGGTCAGGGATTTGCTAGGACTCCTGGGGCTCAGCACGTAGCTGTACTCTGACTAGGATTTATTACAGCGAAAGGATACAGAGCAAAACCAGCCCAGGGGACAGGTCCCCGGGGCAGAGGCTAGGGGAGGTCATCTCCCAGCGGAGTCACCGCAGCACACTTAATTCGGAGGGTGGCAACACGTGTGAAGTGTCATCTATCACGGAAGCTCATGAGAGACTCAGTGCCCAAGGCTTTTATTGAGGCTGGTCTCACACCTGCATAGCACATCCCCACATTCCAGACGCCCAGAAGGAAATCAGGTGTTCAGCATAACCCTGCTTGTGCAAGCAGCGTAGGCACAATGAACCACTCTTACAAGTCAGGGAATGGTGGGAATGCTCCCGAAACCCGGTTCCCAGCTGCCAGCAAGGGCCAGCCTTGCAGCAGGTCTTGCTAAGGACAGCGGTCTCAGGCCAGCTACATGAACTCTTCCTGAACACCTTCCTCTGCAGATCACCGTGGAGGACTATGAGCAGGCCGCCAAGAGCCTGGCCAAGGCCCTGATGATCCGGGAGAAATATGCCCGGCTTGCCTATCACCGTTTCCCACGGACCACAGCCCAGTACTTGGGTCATTCACGGGTGGATACAGCATCTCCAGGGGAGGGCCTTCCAGGTACGGTGCTGTGGCTGCAGTGGGGTTCCAAGTGGACATGGTCCAAGAGTTGGCCAGGACTTTCTACTAGCTGGATCTGTTTCCCCCGGATGGTGTTGTAAGGGCAGGGTGCTGGCTTCACCCCCCACAGAACTGAGCTGTGGAAATTTGGAGAGAGATGAAAGTCTGGACCTTGGGAGTTTTCCAGGGAGACAGGCAGTCATGTGGGGTATTTTAAAAAACATGATCAGACATTAAATGCCAAATGTGTGTGTGTTGGGGGGGGAGGGTAAGTTATAGGAGGCATGTTCTGGGATAGGGGAGGCAGGCTCGGGGGTCAAACCTACCTGATCTAAGCTCTGACACTTTCTTGTGCAAAGATTTCTCCAAACCTCAGTTTCTCAGTTTGTAAAATGGGAATACTAATAGTACCTGTCACCTGGGCCTGCTGAGAGGATTGCATGAAGGAATGAATGTGAAGCAGTGAGTGCAGTCCTGGTATCCAGTGAGTGTTCAGTAAATGGAAGCTGGTTTACGCTGTGGGTTTGGGAGGTTGGCGAGGGCAGGATCATTTCTGGTGGGCTCTGTTCGGCTGGGAAAGGACCCAGGAGCAGTAGAGATTGTGAGATGAAAGAGAACCACAGGAAACCTCGATATTGAAAGTTGTTGGGGGTGTGTGTGTGTGTGTGTGTGTGTGCGGGACCCAGTAAGGGCCTGATGGTCTGTGCCAGTGCCCATGACCCAGGCTGCCCCCTGGGTGTAGTTGGTGCCATTTCTGGCCTCCTTGAAGCTCTGAGACCTGGACTTTGAGTATCTGTTACCACCAGGGGCCCTGGGTAAATCTCAGCCCTTCGCACCAATTTCCCTGTTTGTCTGAGGGAAGTTGATCCCACCTGCCCCATTTTTGGCAAAGGCCGGCAGGAATGACTGTCAAATGTGTACTTTCTACAAAGCAGAGTTCCCAGGGGTCCTGGCATGAGTGTGGTGGGTGGGGGCTGTGGCTTCACCCAGGCCTTCGTACTGCTGGCATCTCCCAGGCCACTGGCACATCTCAGGGACTCTGAGCAGAGCAGAAGCCCCCAGTTCCATTGTTGTGAAGCATAACCTGTACCTTGGCCAGAGGCAGAGCTTAGCAAGAGTCAGGAAAAGTCGTTATGAGAATAATGCCCAGTAATTTACATGTCAGGCATTGCTATTTACAAAGCATTTTCCTATACCCACTCTTGCAGCTCTCACAATGGGCTGTGAAGGCAGGGTGTGTCATCCTCAGATGAGCAGACAGGATCAAAGGTAAAGTGGTTTGCTCAGCATCTCATAGCTGGGCAATAGCCAGGAGTAACTTCCTGCCCACCATGGGCTAACTCAACCCATAGCGGCTGGCATTCCTTGCTCTGTGGGAGACCAGCCTTATTCTGTGCTCATCTGGGGGTGGGGGGTGCCTCAGCCCCTCGGCAGCCCTGGGCCCAGGAAGCCGTGGAAGGACAGGGTTAGTTGTGTCTCAGGGCAGTCCCAGGTGCTGTCTTATTAATAAGGAGAGGACACAGCTGCCCTTTTCAGTGCACCTGGTGGCCCTGAAGTGCCCAGAAGGCTTCAGCTCATTTCAGTTAAATTTTAAAAACTTGCCAGCCACGTACCAGGGATTATTCTAGGAAATGGGGATGCTGAAATGAACCAGACAAACATGTACCACCCAGGATAACGAAGTGAACTTATTTTACATAGTCATAGGTGCTAAGGAAACAAAGTCAAGCGGGAAAGAGGGTGTGAGATGCCAGGGTGGGTGGGGTGGGGGTGGGGTAGTGGTTTTTGTATGGAATGACCAGAACAAGCCTCACCAAGAATGTGCCTTTGGAGCCCACGTGAGCTCATGAGGTCAAGGGCACTTTGCCATCGCTCAATCATGTTTTGCAGAATTCCACCCTTCCCCACTGCCCCAGGAAGACCCTTACCGTATAGATGATGCTCCCCCCAACCTGGGCTACCTGGTCCGCATGCAGGGGGGCATCCTCTTCGTGTACGACGACGAGAAGATGCTGGAGCGCCAGGAGCCCCACAGCCTGCCCTACCCTGACCTGGAGACCTACACGGTGGACATGAGCCACATCCTGGCCCTCATCACGGATGGTCCCACGTAAGCCAGCTGCCCCCCAGTCTGCCTCTCTGGCGTGGGTGCTATTCTGTAGGGAGGGGGCTGGGAAAAGCCATCTAGGTCACCCCTGTGCTCTGGATTTTCTCACTCTTAAACCACCCCAGAAAGAGAGTGGTTTCCCTCTACCCCGTGCCCTGGGGTTTCTGCAACAGCTCTCCATCACAGGCTGGCGTATTAGAGTTGGTATTTCCTGTCCTGCATGCGTAGGTGTGGAGCTCCTGTTTGCTGGTGGCCACCTGTGCACCTTAGAATGGCTATCACTCTGCTCCCCAGGCATGATGACTGCCTTGCACAGTCACCAGCCCAGGGCGTTCCTGTAGATGGTCTAGAGCGGTCAAGGCTATTGCTTCAGGTGTTGGGTTTTCTGTGTTTCTGGAGGGGAGAGTGCAGGGAGCCTGGGAACCCTGTGCCACGACCCCCATGATGCTTGTGGGCTTGGCTCTTGTTAACCTGGCAGGCAGTTGTCTTCTTGACTTTGGCTCCTCACTTCTTGGTGAGCACTTAAGCTAATCAGCAATGGAAGTGCAGCATGACTGGACCCTGGGTGGCTGTGCTGGGTGTGCCCAGACAGGACTAGGGGTCTCGGGGAGTGAGAGGGTGCTGGTCACCACTGAGGAACTTCTTTCTTGCCCTGCCTTTTGGTTTTACTGGGAATGAGTGTGAGGCCAGTCTCCAAGGGAGGAGAGTGGGCCCGAGGGGGATGGGCAGGTGGGTCTTGCTCCTCCCTGATCTGAGGGCAGATAAGACCTGGAGGAGGGGAGGGACAGTTCCTGGGAGGCTCACCTCAGCCAAAGGGAGGAGCTTTGAGGGAAAGCGGGTGAGGGTGTGTGCTCAGTGCCCGTCCTGTCTGGGAGGCTGTTAAGGTGAATCCTACTGGGGAGAGGGACTGTGTGAGGTTGTTACAGAAGACCAAAGAAATACCAGGCACACTTCCTAGAGAAAGGGAGGGATCCCGTTTATTAACACTAGTGGACCCCGGGAATAATTTCCAAATCAGAGTGAAGAAACACCGCAGAGGGCTTCACCTTTTATAACCTTCTGGGGTCTTTGTCTTGCAGATATGGTTCCACCCCTTTTCTGCAGGCTTACAGGAAGGGCCCCAGGTGTTGAGGTCCCCAGATCCACTGATCTGTCCTGGGGCCAGCGATAATGACCCCCCCCCATCCCCCCACCCCCTGCCCCAGGGCAGTGCGTTGTTCACAGTTTTTATGGCCTGACACGCCTTGCAAGACCAGTTTCCTCCTCAAGGTGATCTTTGAAATCCCTGGTGACCCAATACACTCCTGCGCTCCTCTCTGGGGCTCATCTTGACTGGCAGATGAGCATGCTGTTCCAGGGGCCACAGCTGCTCTTTATGAAAGTCTGAGTGATTGGATGCTAAAGGAGCTGCTGTTTGTGGGGGCGGGCACAAGGAAGCACGTGGCATGAATTGTGGCTGAAGGTTCTGTGTGGCTGTGGGCACAGGCGCGTGGCCAGGCATCCGGGCTAGGTGTGGGCTGGCAGCTGGCCTTGAGCAGGGGGCTCCCCCATTCACCCCAATGGCTTTTTTGCCAGCTGGTAGGGGCATCAGTCAGAGCAGAGATTTCTGTCCTAGTAACAGACATCTCTACATTCCTCATCTGCCCACAATGAAACCTCCGAGCTGAGAGGTCCTTGGGTCTCGGGGTTGGGAGCCGGCCAAGATGGGCAGGTCATGCCTGAGAGTTTGACTGTATTACCAATCTCCTAGGAAGAAGTCAAACTCCTTTCAAAGAATTAAAGGTGGCTGGGGATAGATGGGAGGAAAAGAAACGGAAGCAGTCAGGGAGGGAGGCTTTATTGAGCATCCACTTCACATGCATAAACCCCTTTCACCCTCCCGTTGATCTTGGGCATTGCCAGCGTCTTACTTGTTCCTGGGAAATAGAGGCTCAAGAGCCGCTGCCTAAGCACAGAGCTAGAACTCAGAGAATCTGTATGAGGCTGCAGAGTCAGCGCCACTGCCCTGTATCAGCTGCTCATTTACTTCGGAGCACACGGATGTGGGTACACAGATCCTCAGCTGGGTCTGCGTAGAGCTGGTACCTCCTCCCTCCCTGCGCCATCCTGACCTTCCCCTTGAGGGTGGCTCCCTGCAGACCCTGGAGGTCTCCAAACCGGAGAGCTCGATGAGACTTCTCAACTATGGTTTCTCTCCCTTTCCAACCTGCAGGAAAACATATTGTCACCGGCGACTGAACTTTCTGGAATCCAAGTTCAGCCTTCACGAGATGTTAAATGAGATGTCTGAGTTCAAAGAGTTGAAGAGTAACCCCCACCGAGACTTCTATAATGTGAGAAAGGTGTGTTCCTGGGCCGGGGTTCAGACCCCTTCCCATCGCTCTTCTAACCCACGGGGAGGCCCTGAGTCGGTCTGGGGCCGGTGCCCTTGTGTGGCCTTCCTTGGCCAGAGCAGGTGATGTGTTTGTGCAGAAGGAAGACCAGTGTGCTGCCTTCTGTGTGTCAGGCCATCATGCCCCAGATGGTACGTGATACCCAGGTTGTGCATCTGTTGAAATGTGTCCTCTACCTTGGAAAATAGGCATGACCTGGTCATTGGTCATCGGTTGAGGCCAGGTTATTGTTAAGGTAGAGGATGTATTAAATTCCTCACGGAGAGAAAAGACTGTTAAGACCTCTTTGGACCTGGGAGTTCCAGATTTTGCTTCCTTTGGAATCAAGTGTATTTAAAGAAAAGTATGTACTCCCCCTCTGCCCCTCTCTAGAGTGGATGAGAGGGCTTGGCCTGGACTCAGGTGGTAAATGATCTCAGTTTCTGGCTTTTCCATTTTCTTACATTTAACTAATATACAGTGAAGCAAGGGAGTAGTGCTAAGCATGGGCATTTGCTGTTGAACAAGAGTCACTTCTTGTAGGTGGGCCCAGGGAGGATGTGGATCCCCTGGGAAAGCCCAGCTCAGGTGGGCAGCACTCAGCAATGGGAGATGGAAGGCTCCATCGGGGGAAGCCTCAGGGTCCTGTCTGTTAAGCCTCATGGAGTCTGGCATGGACTCCCACTTGGATGGGATCCTTAAGAAATTAGAGTTTGGCTTCAGCTCCTGGGCTGTGAGGCTTCTGGAAGTGTTTGGGGTTTTCCAGATAGAGGCGAATGGATGTACGTAGACACCACCTACCTGGCATTTTCACCTTCAAGCACCATTTGTTCCTTCCCTGTGAACCTTAGGTGTTCATACAGATGGGTGCCTCTGTGTCTCTGTCAGCTCCTCTCAGCCCTGCCCAGATGCACCCACCTGTCCAGCACAGGCCCAGATGAGTGTCCAAGCTCAATGCAGTCCTGCCCTCTGGACACATATGCTCTGGGTCTGACTGCTTCCTGTTGCCTGGGGCTGAGGTGGCCTTGCTGACAGCACTGGTTCCCACACTGTTGGTCTCTGAGTGGGGCCCAGTGGGTATTCCTGGGCCAACCAGCTGCTCTATAGCCACGATGTGGGAGAGTCCTTAGGGGCTGTGTTACATACCAGAGCCCATCCTCAGGGTTCCCTGTCTTTCTGGGGTTAATGTGCTGTCTGGACAGAGATGGTCTTGACCCCTGTGCTGTGACGCAGTCACCTGTTCTCTGGCCCCATAGTCAGTCCATAAATCCAGCTCTGCTCTGAGTTCAGACCTGTGCCTGCCCCTCCCCACCTGCTGGGAGCTGGCTATTGTATCTTACCTTGGAAGCATCTACTATGTGGGGAGAGCTGGCTTTCTGAAATCCAAGCCTCCACATTCCCGAGGTGGCTGGCAGAGTCCTGAGAGCACGCTAGGGCCGGGTTCCGAGGAGCTGTGCATGGCCATGATGTGGGCAGTATTTGTGAAAGCACCTGCAACATTGCAGCAGGTCATGGGTTACGCCATCATGAGGCCAGCAGCTGTGTAACTGAGATAACTGGTTTCCGCTCAGAGCTAAGAATGAGAGGCTGAGTGTGTTCGCTGCTTAGGAGTTGGGTAGAATTAGGCCATATTCACTCTGGCTTAAGTGTCATATCAAGGGTAGCAAATAGGTTTCATCTTCTGTACCAAACAACCAATTGGGAGTGGCTACCTCAGGCTGCTCCCAAAGCTTAGTGAAAAGAGCTGTGATCGATTATTGGTGTCCACCATGGGTATGGAATGGTCAGTGTTGGCTCAGGAGCCAGGTTTGGCCAGCCTGTTTGGAAACTCTAATGTTTGTTTACTAGACCTGGGTGTTAGATGAAAGAAGGAATGCATTTGGATCTTACGATGAATTGAAAACACTGACATCTTTTACTTGTTCCAAAAACAATTGTCTTGGAGATTTTGGAGTGTGGATGCTTCCTGGGTGGTCCAGTTGTTTTCCTCCCTCATCTTGTGACTCGGGGGTAAAGACAGAGTGTACCCCCTGCAGTGTGTCACTGGTAATCCGGAGGACATGACCAGAAACCCCAGAATGTGCTGAGTCATGCTGAGGTGGTAGAACCCAGCTGTGTCTGGCTGAACTGAGCCAAGCTGACCTTCTTTTGTGCCTCCACAGGAGCCCAGCTCAGCCCTGAGGTGTCAGAGCCTTTACACGGTGCTTTTGGTGCTTTGAATGGCTGCGTTTCTCTGATGTCTAGTGGTCTGTCTTTCTGGATTAATGGCAGGAAGGGCCTTGATGAGTGAGTGATGTGGCCAACAACGTGGGCTGCCTGGTATAATGCCCAGAGGAGTTCAGTGGATCAAATGTCTGGTTTTGCACGACTTGGTGATGCCCGGTCAGCGGGACGGCATTCCCAGGCCTGAGGTCAGCCGCCTCTTCACCCAGCCCTGGCAGAGTGCCCAGGCAGCCGCAGTAGTAACTGCAGAGTGTGGCGTGGCAGCCAGCTGCACTCTGGCCTGTGAGCTGCTGCCACTCTCCCCACGAACCTCCCTTAGGTCCTTTGGGTTCTTGGAAGGGGGACTAGGATGCCCACTGTGACCTCAGGTTATCCGCAGCTTAGCTCGGGCTCTGTTTCTTTGGGGCTGGCATCTGAATGGAAGGCTCAAGAGAGGTCAATGGGTAGAGTGGGATTTTGTGGGACAGTTGGCGGGCCTTGAGATTATATGAGGATATGGACATCATCAAAATTATTGGAACCTGTCATACCGGTTCATTTGTTTATTTGGCCAGCCACTGATTTAAGTAATACATTGTACCAGGCTCTAGAGCAGCGGTTCTCAACCTGTGGGTTGCGACCCCTTTGGCGGTCAAACGACCCTTTCACAGGGGTCGCCTAAGACCATCCTGCATATCAGATATTTACATTAGGATTCATAACAGTTAGCACCATTACAGTTATGAAGTAGAAACGAAAATAATTTTATGGTTGGGTCACAACATGAGGAACTGTATTTAAAGGGTCAGAAGGTTGAGAACCACTGCTCTAGAGACTGACATGCATTGGACATGGTCCCTGTCCTGTCTAGTGAAGGAGGAGCCAGGAAAATATTGGAGCGGATCAGAGGACATGTACAGTACAGGGAGAGTCTGTGCCGGCTCCTGAAGTTGGGAAAGGGAGACTCATCAGCTGTGCTTGCGGGATCAGGACTAGCTTTCAAATGGAGGAGGTTTTAGGAAGTTTTCAGGTGGCTGAGATTGACGAGGAAAAAAGAAGGAATGCCAGGCTGAGGACATGCATGGGCAAAGATGTGGTGTGGAATAGCATGGTGCCAGGGGCACCTGGCAATGGTGTGGCGTGGCTGGAGCATAAAGCAGGGCCCTGGCAGGGGAGAGGTAAGTTTGATGTAAGCCTGGAATCCCAGGCTACGGAGCTTGAACTCAATCTTGAAGACACGAGGGGCACTGATGTTTCGTTAGCAGAAGTAGCCGGATCCAATCTACAGCTTAAAAAGATTTCTAGATGCTGGAAGGAGGTGAATTGGGCAGCAAGGCTGGAGGGAGACCAGTTCCAAAGTTTCTAGAAGAAGTGGGGAGAGGGCATCCAGGCATCGGCGGCACCCTGAGGGGTTGGACGTCCTAACTCTTGTTGCCAGAGGAGGCGGCCCGGCTCACGGGTTGGGGGGTGCCCTGTTGCAGGTGGACACGCACATCCACGCGGCTGCCTGCATGAATCAGAAGCACTTGCTGCGCTTTATCAAGCACACGTACCAGACGGAGCCGGACAGAATCGTGGCCGAGAAGCAGGGCCAGAAGATCACCCTGCGGCAGGTGTTCGACAGCCTGAACATGGACCCTTACGACCTCACTGTGGATTCGCTGGACGTCCACGCAGTGAGTGAGCTTCCGCCCCGGGGCCTCAGGCAGTCCCGGCTGCGGAGTCAGCCGCCTGAAAAGAAGCCATGATTGTGTTTGGAGAGAGGCTGACTGTGCAAGCAGCTTTCTCTTCTAGCCGTGGCGACTGTGAGAGATAATTTGGCCTCAGAATAACTGGCTGGGAGCAGCCCTGGGCCAGGGGACAAGAGTATGCAACATGGAGTCAGGCAGGTCCCAGTTCTATTTCCACTTCTGTCACTTAGCAGTTGTGTGCCCCTAAGCCACTCACTTAAGCTTTAATTTCCTTGCCTATAAAATGCTTAATGCAACATGCCTATTGACATTTCAAAGTTATTAAAATACTAAATGATGGTGCAGCTACGTAGTAATGGGGTTTCCTCAGCAATTCCACTCCTAAGTATGTACCCAAAAGAACTGAAAGCAGAGACTAAAACAGATACTTACACATCAATGCAGCATTATTCACTATGCCCAAAGGTAGAAGCAACCCAAGGATTCATCAATAAATGAATGAAAAAACAAAATGTGGTATATCCATATAATGGAATACTTTTCAGCCTTAAAAAAGAATAAAGTGCTGACATCTGCCATAATGTGGATGATCCTTGAAAACATTATGCTAAGTCAAAGAAGCCATATAAAAGGATAAGTAGTGTATGATTTCACTTGTGTGAGGTACATAGGATATGCAATTTCATCCAGCCAGAAAGGAGAATAAAGATTGCTCGGACAAAAAAAAAAAAAAAAAGATTGCTAGGGACTGGGGGAAGGGAGAATGGGGAGTTATTGTTTAACTAGAGGCCCGGTGCATGACAATCATGCACTGGAGGGGGCGTCCCTCAGCCCAACCTGCACCCTCTCGCAGCCTAGGACCCCTTGGGGGATGTCCGACTGCTGGCTTAGGCCTGCTCCCTGCGAAGGGTCCTTAGCGCTGCGGTGGAGGCAGGAGAGGCTCCTGTCACCACTGCTGCACTCGGCAGCCCTGAGCCTGGTTTCTGGCTGAGCAGCACTCCCCTTGGGAGTGCACTGACCACCAGGGGGAAGCTCCTGTATTGAGCATCTGCCTCCTGGTGGGCCAGTGTGCATCATAGTGGCTGTCGACCGTTCGTTAGGTCCTTTCGCCAGCCATGAGCCCAGCTCAGGGCTTCTGGCTGAGCAGCACTACCCCTGTGGGAGCGCAGTGACCACCAGGGGGAAGCTCCTGTGTTGAGCATCTGCTCCTGGTGGGCCAGTGTGTGTGCATCATAGTGACAGGTCAATCCACCATACGGTTGATTTGCATATTAGCCTTTTATTATATAGGATAGGTACAGAATTTCAGTTTTACAAGATGAAAAGAGTTCTGGAGGTGGATGGTGGTGATGGTTGTACAACAATATGAATGTACTTAATACCACTGAACTGTACACTTACAAATGGTTATGATGGTAAATTTTGTGTTATAATAAAAAAAGTCTGTTGCATAAACAAACAAAACTTTGAATGCGATAAGGTGGAGAAAGTGCATTATGAAATTTAACTAGTAATAGGACATACTTTATTTTTATTTTTTTAAAAATATATTTTCATTACACATTTGTAATACCTTAACTAATAATAAAAATATATATATATTTTCATTGATTTCAGAGAGGTGGGGAGAGGGAGAGAGAGAAAGAGATAGTAACATGCCCCACACAGAGAATTGAGCTGCAACCCCAGCATGTGCCCTGACCGGGAATCAAATCGTGACCTCCTGGTTCATAGGTCGACGCTCAGCCACTGAGCCACACTGGCTGGGCAGGGCACGCTTTATTGATCGTTCAATAGTTTGGCATCCTCTGCTCACTCAGCCAGCCATGCTTTTAGCCATAGCAGCTTAGAGCACAATGCCCTGGTCCTCCTTCACCAAGGGCCCCCCAAAAAGGACCCCCAAGGCTGACAGAATGAGGATGCATGGTCCTGGCCCCAGGACATTTTGATTTTATGCAAGAACTGACAGAGAAGACCTTTCAGTGTGGCCCTGTGTCAGATCACCTTGTAAAGGCCTGGAGATGGGAATGGCTGTGGTGGCCGTAGAACAAAGCGGTGAATCTGGCTGTGCCCCCTCTCTCCAGGGCCGGCAGACATTCCACCGCTTCGACAAGTTCAACTCTAAATACAATCCTGTGGGGGCCAGTGAGCTACGTGACCTGTATTTGAAAACAGAAAACTATTTGGGAGGAGAGTACTTTGCTCGGATGGTCAAGGTGAGTGGGCCCACAGCCTCTCCAAGCCCTCCTCAGACACCTGCCAGCATCTGCCCTCAGAAGGGGGTTGCGTTTGGCCTCCTTGTCATCTTCTCCTTCCCGAATCCCTGCCCACCCACCATCCAGCTCCGGCGAGCTCAGGTGCCCAGGGGCCCAGTGCTCTGGCCCCGGCTGTCGGCTCCGAGTGTGGACAGGCTGGTGCTGAATGTGTCCACTGTGTGGACTGTGGGCAAGAGGAGGAGGAGGGTGTCCACCCTGAGAGCATTCACAGCGTCCAGCCTTGCTGCCCTGTCTATTTGCAGCCTGAGCTTGGCTGGGAGCAGCTGAGCTCCCTGGGGAGCCGTGTCTGCTGCCTGGCCTGGTTATGCTGTGATGGTGCAGACCCAAGGCCTTTCTCTCCAGGAAGGAGCCTCTGCTGAGGCGAGTGAGTACTTGCTTGGCAGCCAGGTGATGTAGACGAGGCCTCCCCAGCCTGGGAGCAGGTGGCTGAGGGAGCTGCAGGATCCAGCGGCTGGGGTGCTCGTGGCCTGACCTGAGCTCTTCTTGGTGCCCAGGAGGTGGCCCGGGAGCTGGAGGAGAGCAAGTACCAGTACTCGGAGCCGAGGCTCTCCATCTACGGCCGCAGTCCCGACGAGTGGCTCAACCTGGCCCACTGGTTCATCCAGCACAAGGTCTACTCTCCTAACATGCGCTGGATCATCCAGGTGCCCCGGATCTAGTAAGTGAGGCGGCCCCCTGCCTGCCTGGGCCCCCTGGGCCCCCCACCTGTCCCGCCTGGGCCGCTGAGTCTGCACTGTTGAGACCTGTTCCAGTGCCCACTTAGGCCTCTTCTCCCAGGGATTTTCCTATAGGAAGGGGTGCTCAGCAGGGATGTCTTTGTGACAAACTCTTGCTCTTTAAAGAACATATGTGCACAAATGCCTGGTGGGAACTGCTGCCTGTCTTCTCACTGCAGGATGCGGAGGTCCTTTTGGGTGAGCACCAGGGACTCGGGCACCTGATGGTGGCCTGCATTGCTGGCCCTCCCCTGGATCTGACTCAGAGACCACCACTGTCCTCTCTAGCTGCCTGGCTGATGGTGGGGGGCGGGGGTCATGGCCCCTGGGCAGACTGGGGCCTGTGCTTTAGGGGAACTGAGCTGAGTGGCAGAGAGTTTGGATCCCCGGGGAATAGGAAGACTCATCTCCGTGGTCACCCTGAATCCCTCCACCCTTCTCCCAGTGTGGCCTCTGGCTTGAGAAAGCTCTCGGAGGGGCTTGGGTAGGTGCCGAGTTTGCCAACCAACGCTAGTAGTGCAGATGTTGCTGGGAGTTGGAGGGGAGGGGAAGGACAATGTCCAAGCCACATCTCTGCCTCCACTCACGGTGTTTTGTTTGAATGGGAAGTGACTGAGGTCGATCTCAGACAGGCCAAGGGGGCTGTTGGGTCCACCTTGATTGTCGTCTTCACTTTCCCCAGTGACATATTTAGGTCAAAGAGGCTGCTGCCAAGCTTTGGGAAGATGTTGGAGAACATCTTCCTGCCCCTTTTTGAGGCCACAATCAACCCCCAAGATCACCGAGAGCTTCACCTCTTCCTGAAATACGTAAGTGTGGGTGGTGCCCAGGCGATGTGCGTGGAGGCGGAGAGAGGGGAGGATTCCCCGTAGGCCGATCAGGCTTCCCTTTCCAGGTCTATCACTCCTGTGCCCAGACATGGGGTTGCCAGCCCCACCAGGCTCCTCAGGGGCACCCTGGGGCTTGGGTGGGTGCTGGGGTGGGCAGCACAGGGAAAGACTGAGGAGTCAGTGCCTGGTTAGGTGGGGCTGGAAAGACTGGGTCCTGCACCAGCAGCACCAAGCAGCAGCCTCCAGCTTCTTTAGAGACGCAGACATTTCAGCTCTCCTGCTTTTACTTAGAAAGACGGCCCTCACACCTTAAGCACACAAGCCCCACACAATATATTTATCTTCCATGTCTGTTTAGTTCCATGCGAGAGGGAGAGAAGGGGCGTAGGAGACCTAACCAGAAAGGGCATGGTGGGGCAGGTGCTGGTGGCTTGCTCTGTGTGCCTGGCATAGCGGTAGCTGAGGACAGTGAGAAGCAAGGTCAGTATCTGGTGGAGGTTCTGGGGAAGATTTCTGACAGGGAGGCAGGGGAGATTCCAGAAGGCTGGGGTCATGGGGTAGGGGTGGTTGAGTTTGTGAATGCCTGTGTGTGGAGGGGCGGGAAGGCTACCAGGACAGGGTTTCAACAAGCTGAGGGACATCACTGAATCTGTTTTAGACAAACACCATCCTGGCTGCTGTGTGGTGAGTGGCCTGGAACAGAAGGTGGCTGGAGGTGGGGGAAAGGGTCAAGATGAGTCAGGGGCCTGTTAGCAGTCAGATGGACGGGGCTTGAACTAGCCGTACAGCCCCGCTACTGCTACTGCCTGCTCCGGGGCCTGCACGTGACGGGATCCTGCTTCAGCCTCATGGCTGCCCTACTTTACACCATGGTTGGTGTTAATAATAAGAGTGTTATGTACTAGCCGTGTGTTGGACCCTGTGCTGATAATAAGCAGCATTATGTGCTTGCTGTGCGTCAGACCCTGTGCTAGGCGCCCTCCAGGGACTGTCCCATTTAATCCTCACACCAGCCCTTCGAAGCTACTAGCTCCAGTTTACACACGAAGAGATAAAAACGAAAAAGTGGCAGAACTGGGACTCATATCCAGGTGCCTGACTCCTGAGCAGGTGTTATTATCCCCATCCCAGACGGCCTCCTAAGTAAGAAAAGTGTGGCTTATGCGGGAGGCAGGCCAGGACTCCAGGCAGCGTGCTGGGCATGCGTGTAGGTTGACAGGACAGGGTGGAGCCTGAAGGTGGGCTACAAGGAGAGGTCCAGGGGGCCTCCTGGTGCCTGGGGTCTTGAGGGGGGTGGTGCGCCTTTCAGGGGCCATTGCTGACAATGAGGAAGAGCAGACTTGAGCAGGAGGAGGAAGAATTAAGGTTTGTATATATTTTGTGCTTGAGGCCTGTGGGAGGTCCAGTTCCAGGCCCTGCCTCCGTTGGTATAGAGTTCAGTAGAGGGGCTGGCATTACCCCCATGCCCGGCCTTGAGAGCCCCGGTGAAGCTGGAGCTAGTGGGGACAGAGCAGAACTTGAGTCCTCCCGGTCCCCCATGCCCGTCCAGATCATGCCGAGAGCTATGGGGGGTGGGGGGTACCTCGTTCCTTTGACACATAGGGCTCTGTGATGGGGAAGATTCTGCCCAGCCCCTCGTGGTCCCTTGCTCCTTTGGGAGAGGCTGGCAGACCCAGCTGGGGCCAGTGTGGAGCGAAGTGGGCAGTCTTTCAGGGGCCTTTCCTAGAGCCCCACTCAGGCTGAGTGTAAGGAGGGACACGTGTTAGCAAACTGCCACACATGCTGGCTAAGAGTCTGTGTCCTCACAGGTACATTTGTGGTCAGGGCCTGACCTCTGGGAGCAGGTGACTAGGAAGTCAGTGCCGAGGGTGGGGCCCCAGGGCATAGTCTGGACCCCAGTCGAGGTGTAACTGAAGTGGAAGGTGGGAGTCTCTGGAACTTCTCTGACCTGGCTCAGAGGGCAGCTCCCGGGGAGAGGTGGTGTGTAGAGCCACCTCCTCCCAGAGCCATGGCTCAGCCCTCTGAGGAAGCCATATTGGATGGGGCCCACCTTGGCCTGTTTGTGAAGCATTCCAGATGTTTTTTATGTGACTACATCTGGGACATGCCCTTGGGCACTCTCCACCTACAGCCCCGGAGTCCAGATGTTGAGCCCATTTAGGCTCAGAGCCTGTGGTCTCTGGCTAATCGCCTTGGCTCTGGTTTGCTTGCAGCCCAGGCTTCCCTCACAGGGCCACTGAGTATTAAATCAGTTGATGTGTGGTAAATGCTTCAAGCAAGGCCTAATGTATAGTAGGTGCATGGGACATGCCTGTCCCCTTCCCCCTCAGAGCTGCTGTCCCTGCTGCTGATGGCAGGACTGCTGGCTACCCTGCAGCGCTGGCCTCCTCCCTGGCACAGCAGAGGAATGGGCAGTGGGTAAGGCTGCCTCGCTGTTCACCTGGCCCCAGTGTGCCCTCGCCATTGCCGCCATCACACAGGGGCTCAGCACTCTCCAGTCTGGCCCTCTGGGGACCTTTGGCAGCCCTGGAGGAAAGATGATGGCATTGTGCCCACTCCCCATCCCATCCCTGGGGGCACTGTGCCTCAGGCTGGCCCTGGGTCCCCAGCTGAGGCATGAACCTGCGAGGCCCAGCCTCCAAGGCTCTGGCAGCTCCTCTGCCTTGGCTGATGTAGGGCCCTCGTCCCACCCAGGTGACAGGGTTCGATAGTGTGGATGATGAGTCCAAGCACAGTGACCACATGTTCTCGGACAAGAGCCCCAACCCGGACATCTGGACCAGTGAGCAGAACCCACCCTACAGCTACTACCTGTACTACATGTATGCCAACATCATGGTGCTCAACAACCTCCGCAGGTGGGTGAGCTGCCCTGCACCCACGGCCACGGGCCCTCACACTTCAAGCCTCCCACACAGGGCCAGGTACACAGGCAGCCACGCCCACTACAACAGGCACAATCCATCATACATACCATGAGGCCAGACTCCAAGCCTGCACACACATGTATGCATGCACACACACACACACACTAACACCTACATGTGTACCTGCCTGTACCTGATATGATACAAGCATAGGACGTCCAACACGCATGCAAGTGTTCACACGTGCAATCATTCATGCAACAAATTATTGCACCTGCTACATGAAAGGCGCTGTCCTAGGCACTGGACACATTATAGGGAACAAAGCAGACTAAGCCCATGCCCTCATGGAGCCTGTACCCAATGGTCTTCCAGGCCAGGCTCCCACCCG